CCCCCCCCCCCCCCCCCCCCCCCCCTCCATCCCAACCCCCGACTGTTGGGGGCTGCATTATTTGAATGGTAGAACCCACAGCCCAACGGCTGCTGCCCAAGGGCTGCCAGTGCCCAGGCCGGCTCAGGGGCCGTCCCTTCATCGGGTGACACCGGGTGGCATTGGGTGACAGCTTCATGGCCACGCTGGGGGCTGAACACCAACCCGGCAAGAATGACTGAAGCCTGAACCCATCAGCTCGCTCTGGGCTGGGCTCAGGTTCTTACCGGTTGTTTTGGGGGTTCGGGCTGCCGAGAGCAGCTGCACCTCGGGGAAACTGACCCTCCCCTCCCTCCCCGCCCCGATGTCATTGCAGGTCCGTCCCCGTCCCCTCCCGGCGCTGCTCCCCGTGGATGCTGGAGCTGCCGCAGCGCCCAGGCATGGCTGAGGGCTGGCTGAGCCTGCGGGCGGCCGAGGGGCAGCAGGGCGGCATGGGGGACTCGAGCAACCTGGACGACAGCTTGACCAGCCTGCAGTGGCTGCAGGAGTTCTCCATCATTAACGCCAACGTGGGCAAATCCTCCTCGTGCCCCAGCGGCCCCGATCCTCACGATTGCCACCACATCCCCGGCTTCGCTGCTCCCTGCTCACCCCTGGCCGCCGATCCGGCGTGTATGGGGATGCCCCACACCCCCGGCAAACCCACCTCCTCCTCCACCTCGAGGTCGGCACACCCGGGTTTGCACGCACAGCCACCCGAGGACATCGACTACAAAACCAACCCGCACGTCAAGCCCCCCTACTCCTATGCCACTCTCATCTGCATGGCGATGGAAGCCAGCAAGAAGACCAAAATCACCCTCTCTGCCATCTACAAGTGGATTACTGATAACTTCTGCTACTTCCGACACGCCGACCCCACCTGGCAGGTGGGTGCTTTGGGGTCTGAGGGTTTGGGATGTGGAGGGGGATTGCTTCCCGTGGGGTTTGTGGTTTGCTGTGGTGTGCACAGGGATGGAGGTACTGAGATGGGAGAGGGAGGAAGGATGAAGTGGCTTTGGGACAGGGATTGAGTGTGCAGGGATGGCGGAGGGAAGGAGCCATTACAGGGGAGAGCCCAGGGCCATTTTAGGAGCGGGGAGGTGCATGCTTAGCTTTGGCATGTGGATGTCTCTGTTCTCAGCTCCACCTTTTTGCAGCCCCCCTCGGAGCTCAGTGTGTGAGAAACCCCCAAATGAAGGCTCTGAGTGCTGAGGAGAGGAACGGGGAGGGCTCACGGGGTGATGCTGCACGTTGGATAAATCCCCCTTTGGGGAGGCTCAGAGCAGAAATGCTGCAGCTCTGCGAGCAGGGCAGAGGGGAGTTGCTTCTCTTGGAGAGGCTGAGGAGACTCCATCACTGTGATGAAATGCGAGGCCTCAGAGAGAGGCCGGGCTGTCCCATATCTCAAATGAACCCATCCTCAGAGGTAGGGGACAGCCCTCAGCAGTTCCAGGCACAGCGTGAACCGGGGGTTTTTCCCAGCCCCCCCATCTCTGTGCCCTCCATGCAAGGTCACTGTGAGGCTTTCGGGATGCAGCAGGGCAGGGAGGACCTCCACAGATCCCAAATGATTCCCACACCCAATCTACTGCACAGGGCAAAGAAACTGCAAACCCCCCCCAGGCTGCCCTCTGCCCACATCTCCAGCAGCTCCCAAAGCCCATTCTGGGGCAGGGAACTCCTTATCCTCCAGGATTTCATGTCACCTGCATCCTCCTGGTGAGGACAGCACTTGGGACCCCCCAGATCCTCCCTGCATCTTCCCTATGGGGCCACCCCATAGAGCAGCACAGCTCTGGCAGATGGGAACACTGGGGCAGTGTGCATTGCTGGTGGGGGTCTTTTGGGGTGGAGCAGCACTGTGCCAGCATGTTGACTTTGCCCTGCAAGCTCCTGGCTGGCTAATCACCGTGGTTTTAATTAAATGTGTTTATTAAAAAAAGAAAGAAAGAAGGGTTTTCAATCCCTCCCCGCAGACATGCGGGGGGTTTGCAGGATTGTGGCAGGGAGGAATGATAAATATGTCCATGTAACAAGGGGTGGCCCGGCCTGAATGAGATGTGGGATGGGGAGGGGAGATGGGGAGCCCGGAATTCAGCCCACAAAGCTCTGACCCTCGTAAAATGTCATCAAATGGTAAACTTGGAATCTCTGCAGCCTGGAATGTTTGCGGGGATGTCTGTGATTCCCCTTCTTCCTTTATTATTTTTTCACTTTTCTCTTTTTTTTCTCCTTTTTTTTAAATCCCTTTTTCTCTTTTTCTTCTTCCTTTCTCTTCGTTTTCCTTTTTCATTCCTTCTTTCTCTTTATTTTCCCCCTTTCCCTTTTTTATCCTCTTTTCCCCTTTCTTTCTTCCCCCCCCCCCCTTCTCTTTTTTCCCCTCTTCCTTTCTTTCTCCCTCTTTTTTTTTTTTTTCCCCTTTCTTTCTTTTCGAGGCCGTTTTCTCCTCCCCTACCCCAACTCCCCTATGAGCAGACAGCCTCGAAAGGTCATCCCACCCGTACTCCGGGGGGAGATGGATCTATTCCTGTGGGAGCTGAGTGCTTTGGAGGGGAGCCAGTGCGCCCAAGGAGCTCCAGCCCAGCGCTGGGTTTTGTTGTGTGTGTGCCTATGTGTGTGTGTGTGTGTGTTTTTCAACAGCTCTGAGCATTCAAGCCTTGTTTTTCCTACTCGGCACTACGGATTATGGATGAATAAGCATAAAGATATCCAGGCAACATTAAAAAAAAAAAAAAAAAAAAGCCCTCTACCATATCCAATCTCTTAATACAGTCTTGGCTTTGTGGAGCCCAACGCTGTGTTATTTACCCGATAACTGAGTTTCCTTTCTGATTATTCACATCACTCTAGGCACATTCAGGGCTTCAGAACAGCTCAACAGGAGCAGAAACTCCTCTTTTTCTTTTTTTTTTTTCCAGCTACTTTGAGCTGTGGTTGATGAAGATGTGGTGATTTCACACATCCTGGGCCAGGAGGCACCTCTAGGGGCAGACAGCCCAGGATAGCTTTGCCCACCTCCCCTTGCCCTAGCAATTGGCACAGATGACCTTTGGGGGTACAGGGATGGATGACACCAACCCCATGGTGCTGCCATGCATTGCTGTTTGAAACAGGGCCATGGGGACATGGGTGTGAGTCCCTCCTCACCCTCTATGCAGAACCAGAGCTCCTAGAGTGAGTCTGGCCTGTTTCTCCCAGTGCTCAAACCCTGTGGCCCCACTTCACAGCCGAGGAGATTTTCACAAATGCTTCTTGATGGCTGGAAATTTCTGGCTCAAACCCTTTTCTTCTTGCTTGGCGGAGAGGAAGGGAAACGATACTGGAAACCCAAAGAGGATGGATGCCATGACAGTGTCATTTCTGCCTTATTTCCCCCCAGGATCCCAGCTGATGACGTATAGCCATGCAGGTAGGTGCAGGAGGCAACGCTCAACCTCTCTCTTTTCTCTTTTGCCCGTAGAACTCCATCCGACACAACCTTTCCTTGAACAAGTGCTTCATCAAAGTGCCCCGTGAGAAGGACGAGCCGGGGAAAGGAGGCTTTTGGAAGATCGACCCTCAGTACGCCGACCGGCTGATGAACGGGGCCTTCAAGAAGCGGAGGATGCCCCCGGTGCAGATCCACCCAGCCTTCACCAACAGGGCCCAGCACCAAGCGTGCGGCGTCAGCGGGCCGCTGCCTTCCAGCTGTGCCAACGGCAACGTCCTCAACGTCAACACGGAGTCCCAGCAGCTGCTGAAGGAGTTTGAAGAGGTCACCGGAGAGCAGAGCTGGGATGGGAAGAGCGGCCGCAAGCGCAAGCAGCCCTTACCCAAACGCACAGCCAAGGCGGCCCGGCTGCTCAACACAGCCCTGCTCACCCAGGAGGAGCAGACCGAGCTGGGCTCACTGAAAGGCAACTTCGACTGGGAGGTCGTCTTTGACACCAACCTCAATGGAGATTTTGCCACGTTTGAGGAGCTGGAGCTCACACCGCCCATCAGCCCCATTGAGCGTGAGGTTGACCTGGCAGGCCACGGCTATCACGATAATCCACAGGAGTGGTGCATGGCTGGGTCCGAGCAGCCCCTCACCGAGCCCAACCCCAACAACCTGGACTTTGACGAGACCTTCATGGCCACCTCCTTCCTGCAGCATCCCTGGGATGAAGATGGCAATGATTACCTCTCCGGCTCCGTCAGCATGGAGCA